CTTCAATTTGTTTCAAAAATTATTTTACTATTTTTTATAAATTAAAAAGGGAAAAGTAGCTATTTAACTGATAGCCTTATTTGTATTTAATTACAGCCAAAATCAACCACCCCAATAACCCAATTCCAATTTCAAACGAACCAGCCCAAATCCTAATATATAACCCGACCCCTAACCCGTTAATAAAACCCGCCCGGTTTTCTTTTGACCCAGGCCATTGATCATTTTGATCAACGGCCACGATTCTTCCTTACCATTTTAATTCACCCAAACCCCCAACCCTAATTCATTTCCCTCCAGAGACGCCGCCTTGAAACCCCTTCGTCTCTCAAACTCTCTCAAATGTTCTCGAAACCCTAATCGTCTTCTACTGTCTTCTACCTCAAGCTCACCGGAATCCATGGCCTCTCAGGCCATGGATGGTTTAAACTCTTCTCCCTCTGCTCTTAAACACTTGGTACTCGAAGGTTCGAGGTCTGACCTTGAAGGTTTTCATTCAGATCTTTGCAAACTCAAGGTTCTATGGCCATCTCCGGCCTTGCTCCGGCGTACAATGGTGTTTTGAGCCTGGTTCTGGCTTTCCGACCAAGATCGGACCTTTTCCAAGCCTTTCTCATTCTAGGGTTCTTCTGAAACCCTAACTAGTCGAGGTTTTCTCCTTTTTTTCCTTAAATCTGTTATATATCTGTGCTCTACTTGAGTTTTTGAACGATTTCCTCAATTTTTCTTTCAAAAATTACTTTCAAAAATTACTTCTTTCTAATTTAGGGTTTCCTGAAAATGTTCAAATGTTTCTCCGAATTTTCTTTCCGTTTTTCTTTGTGTGTATTTGTCTACGCTATGTTCTTATGTTTCTTTTCTACCACGCATGTTCTTCACTGTGTTCTTATGTTTTTCCTTTAATCACGCATGTTCTTCTACTGTGTTTTCTATATTCCGTTCTTTCTTATACTGTGTTTCTATGCTATGTTTTCACATGCTTTCCCACTATGTTCTGCTATTTGCCTTCCACTATGACTTGATATGCTTCGCCTACTGTATCCTTCTACCACGTTCTTAAGGGTTTACTGTTTCACTTCTACTTTACCATGTTTTAAGAGACGTTTAAGCATGTTTTTCTCTACTGTTTCTTCTACTCTCATTGTGTTTCGAATTAGTTTCTTCACTCTGTTTGCTTTGAACTTTCAACTGTATTTTCTTGCTTTCTCATGAGTTCCCGAAAGAAATCTCTGAGCCTGCTGCCTCCTCATCTCTGTATTTCACTCGAGGTAGAAACCCTAGGATTTGGGGTTCCTCCGAGTTTGGTCATATGATTGGATTAGGGTTCTGTTTGAGAACCCTTGACTCTTTCAGACTAACCTCTGAGTCTATGAACTAAGTGTGAATTTCTTTTGTTTGCACACAATTTTGATTCCCCTACACTAGACTCTTCTATGGAATAGCATGATAAATTTCTTCATGTTTAACGTGTCTGTATGCTTTTATATATGATGAATCTTTCTTCAAAAGGGTTTTCTAACTTGTGATTGATTCAGAATTCCTTTTAATGAGTCTAATTGATTGTTACTGATTTTCCTTAAGTTAAAATCCTTCCCATCTTTCTGACCTGGTTCATTCATACAAAATCTTTAATTTTTGATTTACTAGCTGTTAATTGATTCCCTTGCCTTATTTGCACAAACCGTGTACTGTCAAGACCTTGTCCTTAAATAAACCTCTATGTATTTACCCCTCTTGTTCTGCTTTGAAAAAGTGTTTGATTAATCTATTTCCTTAATTATTTTTACCCGTTTGAAATCAGAATCCCTTAATTAAAGGGAAACCTTGTGTAATTGATTTTCAAACTATTTTCTTACCTATTTCTGCTTGCTTTCTACACTATAAATACATGACCCTCTTTAACACAAGACACAATCAACACACATTACACACTTCAGACACTTATAATCTCATAGTTCTCTTCTAAACTCATAGCATTCTGACTACTTGTTTGCACTTTGGCAATATAAGACTACTGCTTTCCTTTGCTTGTTTCCTTGAGACTGCTATGTTCTAGTTTTGGTTTCAGCATCACCCCAACGTGTTTATTTACAGCCTTTACATCCATGTCTATTGTACTGTCTTGTGGAGTTAAATGTTAACTAGCATGTTAATTTCCTTTCATCTGTTTATGTTGTGAATCCCTGCACCCCTGTCTCCCTCTATGTGTTTTGAGTTGTAGTTCAGAACATGGCAATATTCCAGTTATTGTTCATGTTTGGGCTTGATCCCTTAGGGGATCCTAACTCCCAAAACAATGTGTTCTAACAGGCTGGTGGGGTGTGCCAGCATTTTCTATTGCTGGGTATGACCACTAGCCTGTCTTTGCCACTCCCCTTTTCCCCTTTTCAAAATTCCTTCTATGCACTTACACTCATTCCTAGTTTCTAAGTTCTGCCTCCCTCATGTGAGCCTTGCCTTGGGACGCTCCCTCTAAACTTGGGCACTTGAGGGCTGGCCCTTCCATACTGCACTATGACTCAATCCTGCAATGTATTTGCGTGTGAGCACTGCCCGGAGTCCATATGAGGCTCTTAGGGAACTCTGACATATCCCAAATGAGAGAAAGGCTTTGGATCTCGATCTTTGGAGTTGGTTCATCTCATGTTTCAGACAAGGAGCCTGAATTAGGCTCCCCTTGGTTGTACCTTTAATTTCTGATGTAATTTTGCTTTCTTATTCCATTCTGGGCTGTAATAACTTTATAATAAACTTTCGGGGATGTTTAGTGAAAAGGGAGGGGTGACTATGCATGAAAAGGGTAGATAACTTGCCTATAGGAATCTCTAATTTTAGTGTTTTTCATATAGTTACCATGCCTATAAGATTTCTGCACTTTCATATAGTTACCATGCCTATAAGATTTCTGCACTTTCATATAGTTACCATGCCTATAATACTTATGCATTTTCGTGTAGTTATCATGCCTATAAGATTTCTGCACTTTCACATAGTTACCATGACTATAGGGATTCTGCACTTTATGTAGATATTATGTCTATAGCTTCTGCACACGCACGTAGAGAATATGCCTATAGGTCTTTTCTGATTCTTGCATACCCCCTTATCACTAGGCAAACATGTTTATAGGCCTTAAGTAAAATAATGCAACACCTAGATATCATGTTATAGGATTTCTGCACTCTTCTATGTCTATAACAATGTTCTAAGTCGGCAAACACATAGAAAGCATGCTTATATGGGTTCTAATTCAAATCTGAATAGCCTCACTCGCTTATGAGTCTAAAATTAGCAATAATAATGTGTTACCAACAGCAGAACTCGTGTTTTCTAAAATTCATTTTTTAACGAGCAACTCCCCTTTAAATCAGCATGTAATCAGTTCATTTTCTTATTTCTGAAATCTGTAGACATCATGCCTATAGGTTTTCGTCTATCACTTAGGCAAGCCTTAGGGTAAAAGTTATAAACTGCAACAGTCTTTATTAATTACAACCAGTGGGCAGGCCTAACTCGGACTTCTTATCTGAAAATATGTGACAAATCAGCCTGCTTTAACTTTTAAGTTTAGTCAGACCTTAATCAGTACGTGTAAGACATGCTAAACTATCTGCTTCTCTCTGGTTTTTAAGGAGGTTTGTCTGAGCCTTTCTATCTGCTATGTGCTTCTCCCTATATTTGCTATATATGTGTTTTGATTGTCGCCTTAGCATTTTGTCCTTTGAAACTATAAAGCCTCATACCCCTTCCCTGTAGGATTAGTAGTCCAAATACCTCCGGGACTAATAGGATTGGGACGGGTAGTATTATGCAATAAGTAACGAAACTATTCCGCGCTTTAATACCTTAACGGGGTGGGAAAGGGTAGATATGGATATGATGACCATGCGATAACACCACGTGTATAAACGGTTACCGGGTGTTGCATGGGGTGATCCATATTATTTATAAACCTAGGACCCCCCCCCCCCACCCCTCCCTTTACTTGTTTATTTTATTCAGGATTTCAAAAATCGCTTCTTCTCAAATTCTAGCTTCTTCAACTTCTTTTAATTTTAATTACTTACAACAATTATGTGAAAAACCCCTCATATTTGTAATTCTTACTTGTCTACTTGTTGTTTGCACTTAAAGTCACAATTATAGTATGGCCGGGAACCACACTAGTGGATCTCGAGGGGTGCCTAACACCTTCCCCTCGGGATAATTTCGAGCCCTTACCCAATCTCTGGTTTTCTTAATCAAAGTTCTTCTTAGTGTTCTAATGCACTTAATCATTAGGTGGCGACTCTTCAATTCAAACCCAATTCCCAAAAGGGAACGAGTTGTCCTCCCAAATGTCATAAACTCGATTTCGCGAGAAAAAAGGGGCATCGACACCATGTAAATCGAGAAAAATCATCCACAATAACTAAAGCATATTTCCTACCACCTATACTAGCAGTTCTAGTTGGACCAAATAAATCCATATTCAATAGTTGAAGAGGTTTAGTGTAGAAACAATGTTTTTGATTTTGAAAGAAGAGTGAGTTTGTTTTCCTAGTTGGCATGCATCGCAAATATGATCTTTTGAAAAATCTCGTTTTGGAAGATCAATGACAAGATCATATTTAGAAAGTTTTTGAATAGTATGCATGCTAGCATGTCCAAGCTTTCTATGCGAAACCCAAGGATCATCAATCATAGAATTAAGAGAAATTTGATTACCAAGATTATCTACATTGCTAATAGTGTAGACATTCATGTCTCTATTACTTGAGCTTCTTCTTTAGTTCGGGACAATTAGCTTGAATGTGTCCATATTTTCCACATTCATAGCATATTCCATCATTTTTATCAGTTTCATTATTTGTCCTTCCTTTTTTGAAGTTTGATTTCCCTCCTCTTCTATTTCTGTTTTTCCTCATCATGCTTGTTACAACTTGAGAAAGCATGGCTATGTTTTCATCTTGTTCTTCTCCTTCCTCTTCCTCTTCGTTTTCTGGTTCATCCACAATTGCTTAAAGTCGACTATTTTTGTTCTTTTCTTGTAGAATTTGCTTGTTCAAGTGAGTTTTCTCAAAGTCAATAAGATCATCTCTAAGTTCATCATAAGACATTTTGTCAAGATCCTGATATTCCAGAGTAATAACCTTGGGCAGCCAAATTGTGGGTAGACTTCTAAGAATTTTTCTGACCTGTTCTCCAGTCTTTATTGGTCTGCCGAAAGATTTTAAATCCCCAAGGATTTTGCTGAACCTGGAGAACATCTCCTCCACTGATTCTCCATCCTTTATTTGAAATAGCTCATAGTCACGAACTATAAGATTGATTCTTGTTTCTTTCACCTTGTTGGTTCCTTCATATGTGAACTCCAATTTATCCCACATTTCCTTAGCAATTTCACAACTTGAAATCTTTTCATACTCTTCTCCACTGATAGCATTATACAGTAAATTTTTTTGCTTTGACATTCACGATTATGACATCAGCTTGTTCATCAGTATAATCATCTAGGTCAAGTGGATCAGTTGATACAATAACTTGGCCATTTGCATCTTTCTTTAGCGGAATTGAAAGATTTCCCTTTTTGATCATATGCCAAACTTTGATGTCATATGACATAGTGTATGTTTCCATACGAACCTTCCGGTGAGAAAAGTGTTGTCCGTTAAAATATGGAGGTCGTACCTGAGAGGTTCCTTCTTGAAATAATGCACCGACGACTGTGTTTGATCCCATGATCTTTTTCTCACTAGCTGTTAAGCAAAGTTTGTAAGCCTTGCTCTGATACCAACTGAAAGTATGGGGGGGTGAATTGCAGCCAATTAAAATTCTAGTTGACTAAGTGCGAGTTTAGTCGACTAGGTTTTGCACAGTGAACAACTTCAAGAAGAATGAAATAGATTAACAGAAAAGTAAAGAAGGCACAACAGTTTTTATACTGGTTCAGGATCGGTGTGGTACCTACGTCCAGTTCCCTTGGGTCATAAGGGTTCTCTTAGATCTTTGATAAAGAATTACAAAGGTGATGGTTTTAATACGTTCACCACCAACAATGTTCAGCAACAGTGATATTTGTAATGTTGACACAACTCTCTTTTGTGTTCTAACTCTTCCTATCTTTCGTGGCACTTGTAGACTCAAGAATACAGTGTTTGTACTAAGAACTAGAAAGGCTTAAACAACAGTTTTTGTAGTTGCGTAAGTCTTCTTCTTAAACTGGAAAGTTTTCTTATAGGAAAGTTTGAGAGCCGTTGCTAATTGATTTGATTGAGGGACAGAATCCTCTAAGAGATTTGACCCAAGGGGTACCTCTCGAATCCTGCACTTGAGATGAGCTGGATTCGTTCATGACTTTTCTTATCATGTCCTCATTTTATGGAGTGATTTAAGGCTTCGATTTTGCTGGACAATCTCCAATATCGTCTGATAGGAGATGTCTGATATTCTCGATCTACACTTGATATATTTCCTTGTTGGACAATCTTGATATCCCTTGATTTAGACTGAGATGGAAAGACTAGTTTGATTTCCTTTTTGATGGCTTCTTGTCCTTTGATCTAGCATCGTCTCCTTTGGTTAAGCATCATCAACTTCTTGTCCTTCCTTATCAGCTCATTTGATAGCTTCTTTCCTTTTGTTGGTGACTTGATTTCTACAGTCAAAATAGATAGGATTTAGCCTTGCACAATTGTCATCGTTGAAACTTAGATTTATCATCCTGAATAGTTGGTTCGAGATAAAATACCAGAAAAATATGTCAAATCTTCACATTTGCCAATTTCTTATTCGGGGGCATCAAGATCGGCGCACAAGCTCAGTTTTTATATCAAGCATCCTTTTATGATCGATATTGATGATTTGATCCCTTGTCGCCTTTGGACAAAGAGTTTTGCGCGTTTGTTGATCATGTGAGGGATACGAGGCGAAGGTAGCTTCACTTTCTTTAAGCTTTCATGTTCTGATTTTACACTTATGTAATTGTCCTATTTACTTTTCCTTTTTCATGATTTGAATTGCCAAAAATATTTATTCCGATATAGTACATGACCTAGCGAAAGCTTTATTTTTGCCTCGTGTCATGTAACTATGAAGGATTGGTTTCACTCGCTTGAATATTGTGGTCGACCTTTGTTTGACACGGTATTTAATAACTTTTTGTCATAATATTCTTTTCTGTTGCATATCTTTACTGTTTGAGACCTTCCAGTATGCACATATAACTTTGTATGATCATTGTATAACATTGTATAAGTTTTTATAACCTTGTATAAATATGTATAACTTTGTATATTATTGTATAATAAAAAATATGCATCATGTATTGAGTGTTTTGTAGTACTTTGAATCATTTAGTGGTGATTGTTATTTTATTTTTATTTTTCTGGTCTCAGTACTTGGACGTCATCTTTTACTATCGAGGAAGAAGGGAAAATATGGGCATAATATTATCGAAGGTTTGCTACAACCGATTCGGTAACAAGATCAATACACTCTATAAAGATCTTAATTGAAAGCAAGATCCTTTTGTAATTCCTGAAGAACATAAAATAGAAGAGTTCGTTAGAGACTTTTACTGTGATGCAAATGTAATAAGGCACACCATTGCCCACGTGTTATTCCCGATTTATGTCAAGCATGGAAGAGCTAAATTGAGCCACTCGATTTTGGAAGAAACTTAATTTCTAATGTATTTAACTCAGAATCAACTCTAATATGGGTTGAAATTGCTTCAACTAAATTGTTGAGGTTGAAAGGCGACTCGATAAGTACACAATCACCAACAAAATTGATAAATTTATTGTCATCCCATTCGCCACTGTGAAGAATGTATACGGAATAAAGCTCCATTGGAAGAAAAAAAAGATGAATCACAAATTGTAGCTAAAAAGGGATAAAAATCGCAAATCACACTAATTGCAGCAAAAAAATAATTTAATTTTTGTGTTTGATTGTTGTTATTTCGAGCTTGAGGACGAAGAGTTTGACTTGCATTAGGTGTAAATAGCGTTTTTGTAGGTAGGTTTGTTATAACTTTTTGGGGAAGAAGAATGAAAAGAAGCATTTTTCATAATCGGCCTATTCTTTTTGGGTTATACGTTTGTAAACTTGAATATGGGCCATTAAATTGCAAAGTAGTGTGCCGAATTGTTTTATGTGAAATTTTCTTATAGGAATTTTTACATTCCTATCCCACTTAGAAAACCTTTTTACCATACATGTTTAAGGTTTGAGTAAATTACATTTAGTATACCAAATTACCATTTCTATACCATATCTATCTAAGGTTATAATTAATGTGATATTTTCTACTCCTTAATTAAAGCATTTCCGTTTTTTTCCAGTACTAATCCCTCACTTTCTCTCTCCTAACCCTCCCCCCCCCCCCCCACGTTTTACCTTTACCCTTCACTCCCCCACGTTTAGCGTCTGTTTTCTTCTTTACAGAACAAAAGCTACCCACGTTCTTCATTATTCTCCATTTAAATTCACCAAATATTGAAGTTATCATTCTACAAAATTCGTTCCCATCTTTAGTCAAGTTGAAGTTAAACCATGAAGAACATCAAATCTCCCAAAAAAATACCTAAAAAATCTACAGTAGGTGATATCCCCTCTTTCGATTTGGGTGTTTTCACACCAAAATCACCACAAAAACAAGTAAAATCTACACATGCAATGGAACCTACTACTCACAGTTCATCTCCTAGACAAATCCGTGCCGAGATGAGAACAAAGCAAATGCACGATGTAGATGCTGGAGGAAGTGCTACACCAGGCGGCAAACAACTGTCTTAATTTTGTAGATTATTTGTAGTTGTGATTTTCTACAGTTTATAATTGTAGTTATTTTGTAGTTATATTGTCGTTAGCTTTTAAATTTTGAAACAGAGTTGTAGTTATTTTTTTCTTCCTACATTTTTGTAGATAATGTTTACATCTGTAGATGTCTTCTAGTGTTTTGTAGTTATATGTGTGGGTAGGCTGTATTTTTTTGAAGCAGATTTGTATGTATTTTTTCTTCCTGATTTGTTTTTAGCGATTTGTGTAGTGATTGTGTAGTTATATGTTGATAATATATAGATTAATGCTTCATTTTTATGCAGTTTACTAATGTGAAATAATTTATCATTTTGTGCAGAATGGACATTATTTTGCCCCACATAATGTGGATTATGGGGTGCTTAGATTCCACACTTTGTGTGATCCTACCCTAGTGTTTAGGGATCCAGACGAACCTGCATCAAAATAAAGATAAACAGTGTTATAATTTTGTAGAATCTTTGTAGATAATTTGTAGATATAGTAAAAATTTTGTAGTCATCCATTTTAGGATGCCAGACATTGTAGTTAAATTGTACTATAACTGTTGCAATTTGTAGAATCTTTGTAGATAATTTATTCAAAGACAACATTTTGAAATCAACAATTTCTAATCATAGATTGTAGTTTATTTTGTCTTATAAATGTAGTAACTTTGTAGATAATTTTGAGAACAAAATTGCTTTATTCTTTCATTAAACTGATTTGTAGTTTAATTGTAGGCAAATATAGTAATTTTATAGATAATACCGTAAAACCATAATTATATGCAATTTCAAACTATACAAACCTGCACTTGTGTTATCGTTGGTGATTGCCAATTCCATATTGAAATCTCGTACACTTATAGATAACGGATATGAACCTAAGTTTTTATTCTCCTTTTTGGTCTCCATATACACACGAACCCCCATATCATTCCTAATCTCCATTGGGGGACAATTGTCGTTCACCATGTATTTGATTTCTATAATTTTTTCTGAAGTATCAATCGATAGTTGTTCTGCAATTGTAGAAATCAGAATATTGTAGCTTGCATTCTCATCTACCACAATGGCATCAACTTCAAAATCTCTAAATCTGTCATAGTTATCCCAATTCTCATTCAATTGTAGCATGATTGCAATTTTGATCATGATTGTGTGTTGTTGCTGATGTATTATTCTAAATTTTTTCGTTTTTTGGATTTCTAGATTGAGAGAAAAAAAGATGAAGAACAGATATATGATCGCCAATTTGATTTCTGAAAACGACGAAGAACGGAATATAGCAATTTTGAGTTGTTGAATCTCGAAGATTCGAATTCTACAATTTGAATTCAGTTTGTTGAAGCTGTTCGTAGTTTGTTGAAGATGTTCGTACTTTTTTTTTTAATTTTTGAATTGTAGTTTAAGAGTAAATTACGCAGATGCGAAATCTCCTTTCCGTTTCAGAACTTGAATTTAATGTAGAATAAATCAATCCCAAGATTCTTTCCTGATTTTTCGCGCGTTATTAAGGGAAGATTCTGCCCTATTAATTCCTAATAAACGGATGGTACAAAAATTGTAGGAAAAATGTGAACTAGGCAGGTAATTTAGATACTATGCACATATTTGATAATAAAGTTTCATATATGGTATAGGAAGGAAAAAATCTCTTTCTTATA